CTGACCCCCCCCCCCGAACGAAATGGAATTGATATAGAAAATATAAACTTTTAACTATTTCCGCCCCCCCCCCTCCTCCCCTCTGGAAATTTTAGTCCGCCTCCTCAAAATTTCAAGTGCCCCCCGGAGGGACAAGTCTCCAGAGTTTCTTCCAGGCATCTCTTCGGGGGGGGGGGGGGCTTTAGCGCCCCGCCCCCCCTCCCCCCCCCCCCCCCGAAAAAATTCTCCCGCCCCACTGAACGAAATGAAATTTATATAATTTAAATAGAAAATATATACTTTAAACAGTGTCCGCCTCCCCCCCATCCCCCGAAGAAAGTCTACCCCCCCCCCCCCGAAAATTTCAAGTGCTCCCCCGGAGAAAAATGTCTGGAATAAACACTGTAGAAGAAACACTGGCTAAAGCCTCTCTTCCCATCCCCCCCCCCCCCTCGTGAACAAAATAACTGCAAGAAACATTGCTCATATGAAGGCAACAATAAATAAATTACATTTTCTATATACTTTTTCCAAAAAACTCTTTAAAACTGTAAATTAAATTTAAAAAGCAAAAGTGTAATATAAATGCATCCAGGAATCCAATTTTTTTACTTTTTTCCCATCTCATTTAACATGTAGTGAAAGAACCTTTCTATAAATAGTCTGTTCTACTCAGAAACGTAACCTTTTGGGAATCCCCGAAATGGATTTTCATGTAGAACATAAGAAGTAAGCTTAAAGTGAAACCAAACACAAGCTGCTGGGCGGAACTGTACTGATACAAAGGTTGGCGAGACACTTGCATTTTTCTTCTTAATCACTATTAGAAACATTTAATAAATCGAATAACAGTAGAAGTTATTATAATGCGATTTTGTAATTATTTATACAACTTATAAAAATATAAAATTTAGGAATCTCTTCCGCTGGTTTAAAGTTTTTATGTAGTAACCCTGCAGGTATCCTGCATTAACTGTTTGTTTAATTTCTTCATACACACAAACATTCATAGATACGAGAAAATACGCAACACACATGCACGCAATATAATAAAGACATATATGCTGATATAAATGAACTATCTATCGATATATATATATATATATATATATATATATATATATATATATATATATATATATATATATATATATATATGTATATATATGTATATATATATACATATATATATATATATATATATATATATATATATACATATATATATATATATATATATATATATATATATATATATATATATATATATATATATATATATATATATATTATATATATATATTATATATATATATATATATATATATATATATATATATATATATATATATATATATATATATATAATGTATATGCATTTATAAAATTATCACATATATATAATTATTAGATGTGTTCACCTCTTCAAAAGAAAGCTTTAGCTCCGTACATAAAGAGCTTGGAAGATCAAAGAAATGCATTACATCCTACGCTAGATACCATAAATAAAGTAAGCAAAATATTGCCTTTTAATGTCAATACTTATTTTTACTGCTCTATACTTAACTCAAATTATTTTCTTTATTTTCTTGCTTTATCAGGCTATTGATGAATGCAGCTTATGGATTTCTGAAAAAGATGGCAGCAAAAAACCTTTTGGTGAAATGATGCAACAATTAGAAGAAATAACTAATTCAAATTTCAAGACTTATTCCTTACTTTTGGGTACACCTATTTAGATGTCTTCTAATTTTAACAGATTACTAATCATTTATTAACTTAATTTAGAAAAGAAGTTTTTAAAAATTAAGAATAAATTTCATTTTCTGTGTTATGCTTTTAGAAGTTTTTAATGGTGCATTTTTATCGATTTGGTAATTTTTTTTCACGTTATTTATTGTTAAATAAAACTTAAAGGCTGCTTTTAAAATGTATAATTTCAGGAAAATTTCAGATAGATGATGATGATCAAACATATTCAGAAAAGTTCACAACACCAACAGTCGGTAAATCATTTTCCACTAACATCATGACTACTTTGAACTTAACTTTCATATGTTTGAGATATAAATTTACTATATAAATTAATTATTAACATGATGTTTGACAAAGAAATGTTTCATATTTGAATTAAGATAAATAAAAAAAAATCTCCTAAAATATGTTACTACTTTAAATTTTAGCCAGGGGCGTAGCGAGGGGGGGGGGGGCGGGGGGGTGCGGACCGCACCGGGTGACACCATTTAGGGGGGTGACACCAAGGCAAAAATAGCAAAATATATAGAGAAAAACTCGAGGGGGGGGGTGCAAATCGAAAGTTTGAGGGGGGGGGGGTGCAAATCGAAAACTCGAGGGGGGGGGTGCAAATCGAAAGTTTGAGGGGGGGGGGTGCAAATCGAAAATTTGAAAGTTTGTCCCTGGGAAGGGTCTCTATGCCTCTGGGGGGGGTGACACCATTAAGTGCCGCACCGGGTGACACCCGACCTCGCTACGCCACTGATTTTAGCAATGGTTTAATGTTAAGAATTATGTATTTGCAATTTAGTTTTTAAATTTTAACTATTTAGGCAAGGAAAATATATACTTCAAATTTACACTATGTCATTTTCCAACAATAATTTAGTAACTACAGATCAACTACAAAATCTATTGCGAAAAATGGAATCCACTGATAGAAAAGCTGAGTTACTTGAACAAAAGTGTCTTCACTTAGTCAAAAATCTTGATACGTTAAGTATCAATAAAAAAAGTTTTGAGAAATCTTACAAAAAGAAATCAAAGTATCACGAAAAACGTACAGCTGAAATTGAAGAAAACATAAAAGCATTGACAGAAAGAATGGAGGCTCAAACTGAATTGCTAACTACACATTCTGACCAAATGAAACAAAACACTGCATCGGTGAATGAAATTAAGATACTAATCTCTAGTGATCAGAAGCAATTTCAAGAAATAGAAGAAAATGTTCAAACACTTTTAAGACAATCAAACGAAAGCGAAGCAACAGTGAATGCAATGTCAGAAAAACAGCTCCAATTAACTTCAAATTTAAATAATTTGGAAATAAAGGTAACCATTAGCATATAGTAAATCTTCATTAAGTTTTAATTATATTAAAATAGAAAGTGCCAAATTTAATTATGATCTTCCACTAGAACATCTAAAGTGAATATTTTGTGTTTGAAAAAGTTGATGAACATAGAGGTGTTCTGTAGAGAAGTCCAATTATTTTAGTCAATTTTCACTAATCTTTAACAAAATACTTCACATTTTTTTCTTTTTTTTTTCTACACTATACACATTATACGACAACGCCCTACAAACTATCAAAGCAAAAGTTCCCCCCAAACAAAGGTTCAAAGGTCTTTCATACCATAGTTCGACCTTAGAGTAGAAAATACAACAACACCGGACTAACCTAGTTCACATTCCTTATCTCCGGGGATATAAGCTATTTTTACCCTAACACTCAAAGTCATACATTACACCAGTCGTATAATTTTTTTAAGCTAAGCCGAATGTGCGGGTAGCCAGTTTCATAGATGTTTAAATAGCTACGCAGAGAGGAAATATACTGTAAACCAAGCTTTTAATTTGAGGTCGATAGAATAATTATTTTTGAAATTCCCATTGTTAGCAAGAAAATGCTTTTTACTTAAACATCAATTTTAAAACACTATTATTGTAGTTAAGTGTGATAAAAATGTATTCTTTTTAAGTAAAAAAACTTTTAAATTAACAGTATGGGACACTATGCCAAGTGCTTGCAAAAAGATGTAATGTTCTTGATTATGTGAAAGATGGCTTAAGTAAATTCTACGTATCAAGAGGGGATACCTTTTTGAAGGTACTTAAAGTAATGAATTATTTATTTTAAAATAGGTAACTCATTGGACTAAAATACGTTTCTTAAAATTTGTTTTATAAAATAACGATTTTATATATTGACCCTACTTACTGAAACTTTAGAAGGACTTATTCATTTTGTTTTCACCTTTGATATTATCTACCGTAACTCACGCCTTATTCCTATGCATGAACCTGACCCTGATTGCTTCCCCAACTATGACCCTAGCGTTACTCCTAGCTCAGATTATCTTGAATTATCTAACAATAAGCTATTTATTGTGGCCAATCTATTTAGCTTACATTTGGAAGTAATACGTGTGCAGAAACAGCTGAGAATAATTTGTTTAATCATATTTGGTGGGGAGCACTGAATAATCTATTTTCTTATCAGTTTCTATACAAAATAGTTCTAGAAAATATTCTTTTTCCTTTCATAGCATACTTAGATATGAGTTAGGACTACATTATTTTTGCCCTATAACATTGAAATAAGATAAACACGAAAACACAATAGTAATCAGCGAAGATTTAGCATATTATTATAAATATTTTTATTACATGATGATTATACTTCATTTTTTTTCAGTTAAGCGACAGAATATCTGCTATAGGTAAGATTTACGATACTTAATGTGTTTGTATCCGCTAAAGCCTTAAATTTAAAAGCAAAATAGTATGAAGAAAGCGTAAAATCGTACGCATTTATAAAAGTAATATTTTTTAATAAAATAGAATTTATCTTGAAGAATGTCTTTTTGCCAAGCTATTGTATGAACATTGCCTATAGCTTGACTTTCTTTTTTTTAATTTAGTTATGAACATAATTGGTAGTTATTATTAGCAAAATACAAAGATACCATGGTTTTAATTACAACATACAAAGTTTAACTTAAAATCATTTGGACTTGTTAGTGCAAAAATATTTGTGCTTTACAAAGAGGGGGGGGGGGGGCCACAAAGAGCAGGGTTTAACATACGTTTATAAAGACCCACTATTTATAAATACAAACTTAGACTTCTATCGCTCTCTAGTGTGTGATGTTTAACATATTTTCACAGCAGCTGCGCACACGTTTAAATATAGAAAATACAATTTGACAAATACGGAACCCGGACACTGAAAACTTTTAAAGTGTTTCCTTTATCACACACCTAAAATATGTTTCATTTTATTTTTTTTTTATTTATAACAAAACAGAAGAAAGGAGCAATACTTCATTAGTTGGATTTAGTGTGGACGTTCAAGATTGTGACTATAACCCCAAATCTGGGGATATTATAACAGAGTTTTCTACAGTAAACTTTAACAACGGGGGCCATTTTAATACCAGTACTGGAGAATTTACCGTCCCCTCAGATGGAGTCTATTGTGTTGGTTTCACTATGTATGGTGTTGACAAGGACAGGGAAGCCGCTATTATAATAATTCTACGACAAGCAGACAACGAACCTTCACCCGACAATCAAGCCACATGTTTTGACAAGAATGATGATAATTTAATCACTCCATCGGACAATGATGAACAGAGTGATATAAATTATCATAGTTTCAGTATCCAAAGCTATACGCAACGTTTTCTAGCAGTTGAACCATTTTACAAGGGTGATAAGTTGTTTTTGAAGTATAATACAAACGGTGAATGTATAGATATGCCAGAGTTCTCATCATTCACATGCTATAAAATACACGATTGCAATAATGAACGCAAAACAGAGACTGAAACGTCTGAAAATTAAAGCTTAAAGCTTTTTAAAAGTGAGAATCAAAATCCTCTTTATCATTTAACTAATTACAAAAGATCAACAAATTATATTTATAAACATATACATAAAAACGTTTTAATAATAAGCTTTAATGTAAAAATGCACTAAAATCGAAAAAATAAATTATCTTCTGTAAGTATATAATAATTAACTACTATTTTAATAAATAAAAAGAAAAGTGTAAGAGGTTATTGGCCTAAATCTGCGAGTTACAATCGTTGGATTTGACTTAGGCGTCACAGGAAATAATTCTACTTCTCCTTATTACTTTTTCAAATGAACAGTGTAAAACAAAGTCATGCATGTATGTCGTTAGCCTTTAAAGGTTTTAAAAAAAAATAAAGCCAATAAACTCTTGAACTAATTGACACACAAAATAATCCGGATTGGTAAGGAGTGGCTGTACTGTGGTTGACTTATTAGTAATACATTAATTTTAATAGTTTTTTAAGCGCCTTATAAACTACTTTTTAACCCTTCATTTGAACAATGTAGCATTTTTGTGTCCTCGATAATGTAGCCTACATAAAATATTCCAGTGCCTTACTAAATTTTGGGTATTTAAAAATGAATTATGATATTGTTTTTTTTTTAAATATGTTGTTCGTAATGCACCTAAACGCATATAAAAGTAGCTTATAATTAAGGTAAAATTTATCGTACATTTTTTTTGTTTCAGTATTCATATTTTACTTGTGTACACTTTGGAAACTTATTAAATACATTTTCTGAATAATGTCTAACATTGTTGTTGTAATTTCTGTCTTGGTTTATTGACACGATATAGTCTTTTTCATCCTCAGGGTGTTTTTTATTATTATTATTTATTAATTAGTAAGTAATCGAAGTGACATAAGTGAATTGACATTTTCGGTAGATAACCAATAAAAAGATATAGATTCAATTACAGGATTCCTCTTTAGATTCTCGTATTGACCCATTGGCAAGTAAAATAAAGACCAAGAACTACAACATTGCCATTAATGTTGTAAACCCTTTAAATTATTATTATGTAATTCGAGCATCATAACCAGTGGCATAACAGATCGGCCGGTGGCCTAGTGGACATTGAAGCCTGTGGACCCTTACCCTCAGGGGAGTAATTAAATTTTTTTAGGTAGGGGTGAGAAGTGGGACACCAATTTTACCCCTCCACAAAAAAAAATTGTTTTCTTCTCTTTTATCTGCCTAGTACAATACAACATGATTCAAATCACTAAATAAATGCAATTTTTTAAGGCTTTTTGCAATTCATATAATTCAAACGCTAATATATTATTATAATATTATAGTATTATAATATCAACTATACGTTTAAACCGTGACTCAAGTCTATGAAAACCAATTATAAACACACTAAAATTTCCTCGGCGTAGCGAGGGCTGGGCGCGGGGTGCGGACCACAACGGGTGACACCATTTAGGGGGTACCACCATGGCACGAAATTCCAAAATGTACAGAAGATAAATGCTGTTCGATTGCTAATTAAATAAATTGAGGCATATATTTAAATTATAGGCCTATGTAGGCCGACACACGAGCACACGAGCACACACACACCCCCATCCACACACACACACACACACACACACACACACACACACATATATATATATATATATATATATATATATATATATATATATATATATATATATATATATATATGTGTGTGTGTGTGTGTGTGTGTGTGTGTGTGTGTGTGTGTGTGCTCGAGTATATATATATATATATATATATATATATATATATATATATATATATATATATATATATGTGTGTGTGTGTGTGTGTGTGTGTGTGTGTGTGTGTGTGTGTGTGTGTGTGTGTGTGTGTGTGCTCGAGTATATATATATATATATATATATATATATGTGTGTGTGTGTGTGTGTGTGTGTAACCAATGAAGTTAACACTTTTGTCCTCTACTCGATGGTAGGTTCGATCTTTTATTGTGGTGGTACCAGCAAAACCAAATAAAATCAACAACTAAAACTGAAAACCCAACAGACCTCCAAAGTCCCTAAGTCCGGTCACAGTAAACACGTCAGGACTGGTTTCTTCTATCTTGGTCTGGATTTACAACTCGTACCACGACCAAAGTCTATTCTCCCGTCTCTCGTGTAGCTTCTGGTTATAATCTCCGGTCGTGTGTCGATGAGTCCGTATTTATTGGCTAACCCTGGCATCTGTCAATTTTCCTGAATGTCTATAAGTCATGTCCTATCTGTCAAAGTACCAGCCCTTCTTCCCCGTACGTTACTCTCAATCTCGTCCCGTGCGACGTAAATTACCTGTTGATGCTACTCACATGCTACTGTTAATGCACCGCACCCAGTGGTCAGTTCCATATATTTTATGGGCGATGGCCGGTGATACGCTACTAAACGCCGCAGGTGTCCAGATCTAATCGGTGCCTGACCAGCGTTTCCGGTGTAGTTATGGTGCTAGCCATCTTTGCACATTAAGTACGGTCACTATGGCCACGCCCCAGTTGATAAATGGGTACAGGTAAAGTCGGTCAAGTCCGCGGGTGGTTACGATGTCCCCACCACTATTGGTCGTAACTTCCCTTACTATATATATATATATATATATATATATATATATATATATATATATATATATATATATATATATATATATATACTTTGTTTCTTGAAGGGGGGGGGGGGGAGATGACACCACAAAGTGCCGCACCGGGTGAGTGACACCCGACCCAGCGACGCCAGTACTATGACCATATAGCGATTACTATGCTACCGTATAAAATGGTTTTTTAACTTGCAGTAGCTTTTCACATGTTACCTTGTTACCACTGACAGCCAGTGAATCCGTTCCTAAACATTTTTATTTTCAAATTATGGACTTGACCTCTGTACTAATTGAAGATCTAACAACTTCAATCAAATTGACTTAGCAGATTCGATTAGAAAAGATAAGTAACGTTTAGTAAACGGCTTGTCAGAGTTTCTTCCAAGTATCTATTCGGGGTGGGGGCTCAAACCCCCCCCCCCCCCGTCCCCGAACAAAGTCTACCGCCCCCCCCCCCCCGAACGAAATGAAATTTACAAAAAAAATATATACTTTTAACACTGATCGCTCCCCCCCCCCCCCTCCCTAAAAAAGTCTTGAAGAAACACTGCAACTCGTATAGAAATAAATGTGAAAGTGTAGTAAATCAATATTGGATGAAACAAGAAAAAGCTTTAGCAAAATAAATTCAACTATAAACAAAAAATAAACATAAATTAAATCCTATTACACTGTAGACGCTGAATAAAGAGCAGAATAAACTTCTAATATAATCTAACACATGAATGTTGATCAGTTAAATCAACCTAAATCCTATAGAAAGAATTTTATGTAATCACCATCTTTAAATAGTTTTGGGAATTTCCGAAATGATTTGTGACCTGAAGAACGACACACAGAAAGGGAACACAAGTCTGGACTGGAACCAAATAATAGAGGGTCAGTATTTCTTCCAGAATTTTTTCTCCCCCGGGGGGTGAGGGGGCGGACAACATTTTCCGGGTGGGGGGGGCGGACACTGGTAAAAGTATATATGTTTTCTATATAAAATCCATTTCGTTTGGGGGGCGGTAGACTTTCTTCTTGGGGGCTCCGCCCCCGAAGAGATACATGGAAGAAACGCTGCAGAAGGTAAGTTATATTTTTTTTAGTTTCCTTGGCTTAAATTTTTTTTTTACAGGGCAGTCTTAGAACTTTATTAAAATCCCAGACACTTTGAGAAATTAAGCACTTTCGTAAAGTTTAATTTAGACTTAGCAGACAACAGTACGGTACTTCTACAAAATTTGACGTGTAATGTGTTAGCAACGTTTAGCAAGTAGATCCCTACCTATACATGAAATAAGACCGTTACATTTTGTTAACGTTTCATTTGACTCACCTAAAAGTATTTAACTGCTATTAACTAAAGTAAGTAACTCCGCTTTTCTGTTTTTGAAACTGTGAAAATTACATTTACAAAGGGCTTTTAATCTTTAGCCTAAACTTAAGATTCTCACCTTAGATCAACTTTTTATATTTAAAGTCCAAAACGTATCATTCAACGCTCCATGTGAGTTAAGCTAATAGCGAATATAAAAATTAATATGCCAATTAGTCCATGAGAAATTTTGTTAGGATTCTGTTATATTCACGAGGATACTTTATTTGCAAAAATAATTACTAAGCGATTAAAAGGTTTTTTCCCTTTAAAATAACGCTAAGATAACACGAAAAACACGAGAAAAGAAAATAATAAAATGAGAAACTTAGCATTTTAATTTGGTATTTAGTGCATGTGGGTGGTTTTTTTTTTAAATGTTGAATTGTTGAAAATAAAATGAGCATTAATCAATAAACGCAATAAATTTATTACTATATAAACCGAGTCAAAATATTTATTTACAGACCCGACGTTGTAATCGCAGTTTATATATATATATATATATATATATATATATATATATATATATATATATATATATATATATATATATATATATAAATATATATATATATATATATATAATATATACATATATTATGTATGTATCACAATTGAATTCCCCAGATGTGTTCACCTATCCAAAAGAAAGCCTTACAACTTTATCTGAAGAACCTATGCGATAAAAGAAATGCATTAACTCCTATGTTAAATTCTATTAATAAAGTGAGAAATTTTTTTAAGCAGCTATTTTATTATTTTAATCTTGCACTAGTAACAGTTCAAATCATTCAAACAATGTATCCAGTTAAAACTTAATTGGGGTTATTTTACAGGCTATTGATGAGTGCAACTCATGGATGATGGAAAAAGACGGAAGCAAAAAGAGTTTTGGAGAAATGATGCAGCAATAATTAGAGGAAATCGATAACTCAGTTTTACAAATTTGTTCTACAATTTTAAGTATAAATTTTAATTTGTTTAAATAATATGATGAAATTTAAGAAAAATATAGAGGGAATATTTAAAATAAGCAGTAGCTATGTTTTTAAAAGCATAATTGTTTTTCTATTCTGTTCAAGTAAATATTAAATTTATTTACGTGTAATCGTATCTGTGGCTCCATGGTGTACCTATGATTCTAAATAATACACAAATATTATACAGATTTATATGCATTATTTCACGACGGCTCATTTAACATAATAGTACATGACATTTTCATTTTTAATTACTATAAATTCCAGCAATAAGCAAATCTGATGATGACGATGATAAAATAGAAAATTATCCCAGCGTTTCCTCAACTACCAGCCCGACTGAAAAATATGGTATATATAAAATGATTTTTATTGAAATATTGATATATTATTCTGCATTAAATAAAGAAATAATTGATAAATATGTGGATAAGCCAAGAGGTCAACCATAAATGACTTCAAGCTTGCTATTACCGATTTTTAAATCCAACCTTCCCATAGACATATATCGCCACAACAACCAGACCATATCCTCTAAAATGACGTCACGCCTCAAATTACAGCCCTCTTTAAAATTGCAGTTTTTGTTATTTGAAATCATTGAAACATTCCTTTTAAGAATCTTTTAAACTCCACCTCCCCTCTGAAAATGACGTATACTGTAAAATATTAAAAAATAAAAATAATTGCGCCATACAATTGAAGATAAATATAGCCATGTATTGAAAAATATGCAAACGGAAAAATACATAATAATAGTAATACAGATTTTCATATTGTGGTTGGATGGTATACGACTTATAACCGGGCTCGAGTCTGTATGACGTTTTTGAGTTCGAACAGCTCTGATTCTTAACTCACCTAAAGGAAACTAAGGCAGTTGGGCATAGTCCTGACCACATTTTCCATCAGTCAACAGAGAAACAGAAAAACCGATGAACTCTATTTTGTATGCCCCATATGCACTGGGCATGAACAGGAAAAGAAGATGATAATATTATCTTAATTTGTTTTTAAAGAAAGGTATTAATTTCCATCCCTCATCAGAGTTTTAATTTTTTTAAACTTCAGTAACATTCAATCAACTACAAAGTTTAATGCAAATGTATGAAACAACCTGCACAAAAACTGATTCCCTTGAAGAGAAGTACATACAGTTGGAGGAGAATTTCAAAATGTTGAATGAAGAACAAAAAAGTTTACAGATACAACAAAAGTCTCAAACGAAGAAATCAAATTCTCACGAAAGACGGATCGGTGAAGTGGAGGAAAATGTAAAAACTTTAACTGATAGAATGAAAGAGCATACTTGGTCGACGACTACACCATTTGACGAAACAACCCAAAGCACGGCATCAGTTAAAGAAATCAATGTATTAGTCAATATGAACAACAAGAAAATCCAAGAAATAGAAAAAAATATTAAAACACTTTTAAAAAAAGTTTACAACAGTGAAGCATCAATCAATGAAATGTCAGAAAAACACTTAAAACTTATTTCAAATTTGGAAACATTTGATCAGAAAACCACGAAGTTGGACTGGAAGGTAAACACTAAAATACTTTGATCAATATTTATAAAAACTTACAAAAAAATATAATTACAGTCTATTGGAACTTATAAAATAGGATACATCATAGGATACATACATAAGTTATTGCTCACCACCGCTGAGCAGAAATGAGGGATACTGGTACATTTAGCCATTTTAAAAGTTTTGAGAAATTGCTATGCTTGCATTTCATTCTTACTTTATCTAATAAATTGCCTTTAAAATACAGAGTTGAAATACAATTGTAAAATAATAATTTATGTAGTATGGTATCATATTAGTAGTATTCATCCATTTCTTTAAAAAAATTGTAACTTATAACCTGAATTATTTAACAGCTCGGGGCCATGCGTCAAATGCTAGCAAAAAGATATCATATGTTGGATTCTGTAAAAGAAGTTTTGAGCAAAATCTCGCTATCCAGAGATGAAGCCTATTTCCAGGTATTTAAAGAAAATAACATTTAAATCAATTAATTTAAGGTATCGTTGAATTATATTTGGGCACATTTTACAATTTATGTGAGTGAACCATATCCTGGCATTCTGTTTTTGATGTTTTTGAAAAAAAACTTGGTGTCGAATTTACCCACACTATAGTTTTGTTTGCGTTTAGATTGAATAAAATCAGACAGTAATTAATGTTTTCAGACGTGATTCGATATATTCTAATGAATTAATTCAGCAAGTTCTAATTTATTTCAGTTATTTAGTAAAATGGCTGCATTAGGTAAGGCCCTTTTATAATATTAATAATAACATACTGCTCTAATTTTAAATTTAAAAAAAAAGTTTTTAAGTAAAGAACGGGTCGGCGTGGTCGAGTCGGTAAAGCTCATGGTTGCTAAACCGAAACGTCTCGAGTTCGAACCCTCGGGCAGATGAGGCTCGTTAGCTGGGGACAGCCACTCTTCTAGGAGAGACAACTCCAAAATTAAACAACTGCTGCCTTGTAGTTTGTTCTTGGTTGGACAAAGGCTATGGAAGCAAATCCAAAAAGAAAAGCAGGCTGAAATCGGAGTCAATGGCCTCAATGGCGCATAACCAGTTGACACGTACCGCTTAATTGTGTTGGAGGCGTGGTCGAGTCGGCAAAAAGCTCATGGTTGATAAATTCGAACAAAAGTCTCGAGTTCAAACCCACTGGCAGATAAATCTCGACCCCCTTCAACACTTATAATTAAGAACGAAGAAGAAGAAGAAGAAGAGTAAAGAACTATTTTAGGAATTAATAATTTATTGTAGTATTATTACATATCATTATCTACAATATTATTAACTTACTTCAGAAAAACACCTTCAGATATTTACTGTAAAATATAACTACTGTTCAACGTCAATATTGTTAACAGCGTTCAAATATTAACTATAAAAATAACGTTACCTTCCCCCCTCCCCTCCGTCACACATCGTCACAAAAAGCCAGACCCCCCCCCCCTAAAATGACGTCACACCTCAGCCTACAACCCCCCCCCCCCTAAAATTGCAGTTGAATTTTTTTTTAAACATCGATATTTTCCAAAATCTTATCTGAACTCTGTCAAAATAGAGTATTTTAATCAATTCTTATTACAATTTATTAAAGCAGCTTTCTAAAACGCGAAATAACGTGTAAAATTCGTTTTCTAACATTGCTTTTTTATAATGCGAAATTGTGACGTCGCACCATCTGAACCCCCCACCCCCCCCCCTCCCCCTCATCACACACCGTCACAAAATTACGGACCTCCCCCCTACCCCTTACGAGTGTGTCGTCATTTATGGACGACCCCTTGTAATTAAAGCGAGCGGTAAGATTTCCCACCGCGAACAGGCTAGGGGCTAAAAATAAGAAGCGTGACGCCTAAGATTTATCTTGTACTACGTAAAAAGTAATACAAGCAATCAACAAATGAATTATGTTATAAATGAATACATGGACTCCGAGCCACAATAGACGGGATGAATGTCATGCTATGCATTCGGCCACATGTTAGTCTCAGTGTTTCTTCCAGACTTTTTTCTCTGGGGGGGGGGGGGGGGAAGGGGGACTTGAAATTTTCGGGGGGTGGGCGGTCAACATTTTTCGGGGGGGGGGGGCGGGGCGGACACTAGTAAAAGTGTATGTTTACTATATGAATTCCATCTAGTTCGGGGGGGGGGGGGGGAGGTAGACTTTTTTCGGGGGGGGGGGGGGGCTCTTTAAGCAGCTTTCTGATTTATTTTTTTAAAAGAAAATAAGATTAGATAAGACTTATCTAACATTTCTATAATTTTTTATTTTAAATTGTTTTCATGGTGTTTATATTTTGTTTTGTTTTCTAAAACAGAAGAAAAATATCATTCATGTTCTGAAGGGTTTTCCGCATATGAATATTTTTTCAAAATTCGCGATTCCGGGATTGTATTATCTAAGTTTTCTGTTGTATACTTCAACATTGGCGACCACTTCAACCCAAACTCTGGAGAGTTTACAGTACCAACAAGTGGAATTTATTGCATCAGTCTGGCATTGAATAGTGACTATGATACTAGTGCTGAAATTGAAATAGTAGTACGTGTCTCTCCAGAAAAGTTGGATGACGACGAAGACGACACAGACACTGTGATACGAGGGGTACAAATTGTAAAGGGTAGAAATAGTTTTGTTACAAACGAGTATATAGAACGTGGCTGTAAACTGTTTGTAAAATATATTGCACACAATAAGCTTTTTTATTTAGTTCCATTTCATGCAACATTTACTTGCTATAAAATTCATGATTGCATTTAATAGTATTGGAAGAACTAGCAAATGAAAAACACTCAAAACAGAGTGCTTTATCGCATAGTAATGTCTTAATTGTAATTTTATACTTACTCTTATATACATTTTGCAGAAGATAATATTTTTGCTTACAATTGATGCATTTTAAAATTAAATGATTAAATATTGCATATTAATCAAACCACATATTTTAAGCGAAAAATAACGCAATGTTTGCTATTATCCTTTAAACTTAAATTTAAAATTGATAAAAATATTGATCAAAGAATTTAGTATGTCCTGGTTACTTTGTACATTTTAAGTCAAAATAAAGGCATTAGAGCATGCTCATTCAGGAATATGCTGCTGTAAAACCTGTCTATAAATTGATTTTATAAATAATACTTTACATATTTTGTAACTAGTTATTGTTGGTTAATTAATGTTGAGATATTTTAATCTTGTATTTTTTTCTTGACATAGTACTGACCACACTATCTCTTTATATGCCGAGCTCAAAGAAACTGGTGAACTCTACTTCCCTTGCCCCATTGACCATCAGGTTTGATGGGGAACTTACTCACTCATCAACGGACACTGACATACTTTGATAATTTTTTCATAAAGGAAGGCATTTATTTTGCTATTTTTACAAGCTTTTATTTTACTTGATTCCTTGTGGTTTTGTCTTTTGTCGTAATCAGTCAGAGATTAAAAAAAAATGGCGTGCAAGTCCACTTCTTTCAAATTAGGCACGTAGTTCAAAACCCGATGACAATGCAATGTAACATAAAATTTAACTGAATTGAATGTTTACTTAACGTTATGAATTAATGAACCCCTACCAGTTTGACAAAAAGGCATTCCATTATTATTTTTAATATTGATACGAATTTGTGTTTTGTTAATGTTGTCGTAAAAAAAAGAAAGAAAAAACACATAAGCCTAAAAAGGAGCAGCAAATAACGTATGCTTTTATGTTTACTACTTGTTTAGAGATATTAAACACATAGGTTTACTGCTTTAAATCTTGCAATGTTGCTAAAGATAGAATAGTGTAAAAAATTATATTTGAAATCGCTTAAACTAAATGTGCCAAAAAAAAAGCATTCTAATGTATTACTAGGATAATTTCGTAAGTATTTTAAGAAGTGAATTGATGGAGATATGTTTATTTTTATATGAATAAAAGTGATAAGGCAATAAAATGTACTTACAAATCACAAAAGATTAACATATTGATGATTCTTTGTTATTTTTATTCCATCAATTCTATCATATATGTGTTGTATGGATTAAAAAAAAATTCTTCTAAAATAATTTCCCCAGCTTTTGATCTATCTGTCAAACACAAGCGATTTAATTTTTACGAAGAAGAAACTATTTACTTTTTTTTAATAAGTTTTAAGGCGGCCAGACACCACACATGTTTTGACATTTTAAATATTTTTTTTCTACTAGTATGGGTTTAACACTAATTCTGATAGTAACACCATTTAGCTATCTAACATGAACGTTTCCAACCAGAGGCGTAGCGACCCTACCCTTTCAATTTGCACACCTCCCCTCAAGATTCCGATTTGCACACCCACACCCCTCAAACTTTCGATTTGCACCAACCTCAACCTTTCAATTTATTTTTCCAACCCGTTTTGGCGCCCCCTAAGGTCGGCGCCCGAGGACATATGACCCCCCCCCCCGCCCCCCCCCCCTCGCTACGCTACTGTTTCCAACCTCTACGCCAACCGTTATTCGTTTATTGTGATGTGAAACATGGTACCCACATCAAATGTTCACACTACTACGCGGACAGCGGCTATCTTCGAGCTTGTGTTACGTGATATGTTGCCCACGAGGCAACGTAAAGTATACGGCAACCTATCGGCCTAGCACTCGTGTACACGGTGGTGAAGCGACCTTTATTTTGATCTACAAATAAGTGGGATAAACGATGTTTTCTACGAAGTAAAATTTGATGTCAAACTCCATATAAGGGCATGCTCATAAAAATAATGAATGGGAAGAGATTCATTGATACGTTTGACCAATCATACAATAGTACAGTAAATCAAAATAATCTACGATAGGTTGCAAATAACCACGTGTGCTAAGCAGACATCTTGTTTCAACAATCGCCTGTCTCGTTTGTTTACATCATTTGCTTATACTTAGAGAATTCGATTTGAAAATATAAGTAACGTTTAGTAAACAGCTTGAGTTAGAAGTATAGAAATAAATAATTGTGAAAAGATAGTAAATCATTATTGATGTAACAAGAAAAAAAAGCTATAGCATAATACCACTTTAAACAAAAAATAAACATAAATTAAATCCTATAAAACTGTAGACGCTGAATAAAGAACAGAATAAACTTCTAATATAATCTAACACACGTATGTTGATCAGTTAAATCAACCAAAAACCTACTGACATAATTTTATGCAATCAGCATCTTTAAATAGTTATGGGAATTTCCGAAATAATATGTTATCTGAAGAATGCCAAACAGAAAGGGAACACAAGTCTGGACGGGAACCAAACAAGAGAGGGTTTGGTTATATTTTTTAAATTTCCTTGATTTAAAACAATTTTACAGCAGTTTTTTGTATGTTTCAGAACTTTATTAAAGTCCTAGTAACATTGTGAAATAAATACTTTAGTTAAGTTTAAGTTAGGCCCGTGCAGTACTTCTACAAAATTTGACGTGTAATGTGTCATCAAAGCTTAGCAAGTAGATCCTAACTATACATGAAATAAGACCTAAACAGTGGCGTAGCGAGGTCGATTTGCGCCACTCACTATCAAACTTTCGATCGATTTGCACCCCCCTCAAACTTTCGATTTGCACAACCCCCCCCCCCCCTAAACCCTTCTCGGGATTTGTCAAATTTGCTCTTAAAACACTTTTTACACTCGAATTAATCACTTAATTAAGTGAAATTATCATTTTTCTCTATATATTTTGAAATTTTTTGCCTTGGTGTCACCCCCCCCTAAATGGTGTCACCCGGTGCGGTCCGCACCCCCGCCCTCCCCCCCCCCCCCCTCACTACGCCACTGTGCTAACGTTCCACTTGATCCATCCAAAAGCTTTTAACTGCCACTAACTAAAGTAACTCCACGTTTCTGTTTTAGAAACTGTGAAAATAATATTTACAAAGGGCTTTTAATCTTTAGCCTAAATTTTAGATTCTCACCTTAGATCAAGCTTTTAGTTTTTAAGTCCAAAAAGTACCCTTTAACGCTCCTTATGAGTTAAGCTAATAGCCGGTCTAAAAAGCAATATACCAACTAGAACATTTTTTTAGGATTCTGTTATATTCTGTTATATTCACGAGGATACTTTATTTGCCAAAATAGTTACTATGCGATAACACGAAAAACATGAAAAAAAGAAAATAAATTAAAAAACAAATTAGCATTTTAATTTAGTATTTAGTGCATTTCGGTGGTTTTATTAAAATGTTGAATTGTTGAAAGTTAAATAAGCATTAATCAATAAACTCAATAAATTTATTTCTATATAAACCGAGTCAAAATATTAATTAACAGACCCGACGTTGTAATCGCAGTATATATATATATACATATATATATATATATATATATATATATATATATATATATATATATATATATATATATATATATATATATATATATATATATATATATATATATATATATATATATATATATATATATATATATATATATATATATATATATATAATTATATATATATATAATTATATATATATATATATATATATATATATATATATATATATATATATATATATATATATATATATATATATATATCACAATTGAATTCCCCAGATGTGTTCACCTATCCAAAAGAAAGCCTTACAACTCTATCTGAAGAACCTAGGGGATAAAAGAAATGCATTAACTCCTATGCTAAATTCTATTAATAAAGTGAGATATTTGTTTAAAAGCAGCTATCCTATTATTATAATCTTGCACGTATAACATTGTAATGCATTCAAACAATTTATCCAGTTAAGACATAATTTGATATAATTTTACAGGCTATTGATGAGTGCAACTCATGGATGATGGAAACAAATGGAAGCAAAAAGAGCTTTGGAGAAATGATGCAGCAATTAGAGGAAATCGATAACTCAGCTTTACAAATTTGTTCCACAATTTTAAGTATAAATTTTAATTTGTTTAAATAGTATGATGAAATTTAATAAAAATATATAAAGTATCTTTAGAATTAGCAGTAGCTATGTTTTTAAATACATAATTGTTTTTCTATTCTGTTCAAGTAAATATTAAATTTATTTACGTGTAATCGTATCTGTGGATACATGGTGTACTTATGATTCTAAATAATAATACACAAATATTATACACATTATTTCACGACGGTTTATTTAACATAATAGTACACAATTTGTCCCACTCATAAACTCAACTTTACATATTTGTTCTACAATTCTGAGTATGAATATCTATTTGTTTAAAAATGATAAAATTTAATAAAAATATGTTAAATATATTTAGAATTAGCAGAAGCCTACGTTATTAAAACATAATTGTTTTTCATAGTCTGTTCATGTAAATATTAAATTTATGTACATGTAATGGTTTCTGTGGCTGCTGGTCTATCTATGATTCTAAATAATCGATTGTTTGTTACAAATACACAAATATTATACATAATTATATGCATAATTTCACGACGGTTTATTAAACAAAATAGTACGTAATAAAATATTAGCAACATTTACAAACTTCTACAACGCTCTTCGTTCCCATACCAACAATTACGTCATCTATTATCTTCGACGTTTGCCGCGTCAATTTATCACAATAAAATACTCTTTCACAATGTCAGCCGTAAAGTAACAGCTACCTGTATGCCGTCCTTAAGAAACTCTGTTACACAATAAGTATTAACTATCTTTTTTGCGATCTATGAATTCTATTATTGTTTTTAATTTTCAGTTAGCTTTTAGGTTTATTACGATAAATCGACATAAGTATATTTTATTAAAACAAATTTCTGTTTGAAAAAAATAATTTACAATTTTTAATCACTTTACATTCCAGCTATAAGTAAATCGGGTGATGACGATGATAAAACAGAAAATTCTTCCAGCGATTCCGCAACTGCCGGCCCTGATGCCTTCCACACTACCAGCTCGACTGATAAATATGGTATTAAAATAATGATCGTTATTAAAATTATAAAATATTATTTGGCATACAATAAAGAAAGAAGTGATAAGTATATGGACAAACCAAGACGTCAACCATAAATGACGTTAAGCTTTTTATTGACTTCCTTAAGAATATTTTTTTAAAAGTTATAAATTAAAATTAATTGCGCTATACGATTAAAGATAAATAATTCTTCGCATTAAACATAACGATTAAAGTTTTAAAACTTAATGAGGTCCAATAATCATTAAAAAGTATTATAATATAATAATAAGGATTTTCATACTGTGGTTGGATGGTATAAACTTCTAACCCGGCTCGAGTCTGTATGACATTTTTAAGTTCGAACAGCTCTGATTCTTAACTCACCTAAAAGAAACTAAGGCAGTTGGGCATATTCCTGACCACATTATACATCAGTCAACAGAGAAACAGAAAAACCTATTTTGTATGCCCAATGTGCCTTGGGCATAAATAGGAAAACAAGATATAATATCTTACTTTATTTAAATTTCCATACCTTTTCACTGTTTAATTTTTTTTAAACTTCAGTAACTTTACATCAACTACAAAGTCTAACGCAAATGTTTGAAACAACCTGCACAAAAAATGATTCCCTTGAAGAGAAATACTTTCGGTTGGAGGAGAATTTCAAAATGTTGAGTGAAAAACAAAAAAGTTTACAGATACAACAGAAGTCTCAAACGAAGAAATCAAAGTCTCACGAAAGGCGGATCGGTGAACTGGAGGAAAATGTAAAAACTTTAACTGATAGAATGAAAGAGCATACTTGGTCGACGACTACACCATTTGGCAAAACAAACGAAATCACTGCATCAGTTAAAGAAATCAATTTATTAGTCAATATGAACAACAAGAAAATCCAAGAAATAGAAAAAAATATTAAAACACTTTTTAAAAAAGTTTACAACAGTGAAGCATCAATCAATGAAATGTCAGAAAAACATTTAAAACTTATTTCAAATTTGGAAAAATTTGATCAGAAAAACACAAAATTGGAGTTGAAGGTAAACATTAAAATACTTTGATCAAGATTTATAAAAAAAATATACTGGTGCAGTTAGTCATTTTAAAAGGTTTTGGGCAATCGTTATGCATTGCATGTCATTCTTGTCTTATCTAATAAATTGGATTTAAAAAAATAAATTAAAATACAATTTTTAAAAAAAAAGTATATAATGTAGTATCATAATAGTAGTTCTCTTCCATTTCTTTAAAACAATTGTAACTAATAATTATTTACCAGCTTGGGGCCATGTGTCAAATGCTAGCAAAAAGATATCACATATTGGATTCTGTTAAAGAAGTATTGAGCAAAATCTCGCTATACAGAGATGAAGCCTATTCCCAGGTAATTAAAGACAATAATATTTGAATCAAATATTGTTAGGTATCTTTGAAACATATTTGGGCACATTTTAAAATCTATGTGAATGAACCATATTCTGGCATTCTGTTTTTGAAAAAAAACTTGGTGTTTTTGTTTGCGTTTAGATTGAATAAAATCAGACAGTAATTGATGTTTGCAGAACGTGATTTGATTTAGTATTAATGAATTCATCAAGCACTAATTTATTTCAGTTGCATAGTAAATTGGCTTCATTAGGTAAGACCCTTTTATAATATTAATAATAAACATATTGCTGTAATTTTAATTTTAAATTTTAAAAAATATGTTTTTAAGTAAAAAAACTATTTTAGGAATTAATCATTTATTGTAGTATTATTACATGTCATAAGCCTATTGTTTTGTTTGTCTACAATATTATTAACTTACTTCAGAAAACACCTTCAGTTATTTACTGTAAAATATAACTTCTGTTCACGTTCAATATTGTTAATAGCGTTCAAATATTAACTATAAAAATAACGTTAGTTATCTGCTAATGTAATCTGAAAGTATAATTTCATCTATACATTTTAACATGCTTGTAATAAAAGCGTGCGATAAGATTTCCCACCACGAACAGGCTAGGAGCTAGAAACTAGGAGCTTGATGCCTAAGATTTATCTTGTACTACGTAAAAAGTAATACAAGCAATCAACAAATGAATTATGTTATTAATGAATACATGGACTCCGAGCCACAATTGACGGGATGAATGTCATGCTATGCATTCGGCCACATGTTAATCTCAGTGTTTCTTCCAGACTTTTTCTCCGGGGGGCACTTGAATTTTTCGGGGGGCGGTCAACATTTTTCGGGGGGTGGGGGCGGACACTAGTAAAAGTGTATGTTTATTATATAAATTCTATCTAGTTCGGGGGTGGGGCAGAGCCCTCCCGAAGAGATGCCTGGAAGAAACTCTGGTTAGTCTATCAATATATAGCGAGGCGGCTTCAAAACTCGAAGTCCAGGACTCTGCTGTGTGAAGTTCAGAGGGGCTGGATGCAAGCGTTGGTGTTGAAATAACAATATTGACATCTGCACAGCTTTAACGATAGACTCTAACCCAACGTTTACTAAAAGATCTTTTCAGTGTATCTTGAGTTTAAGCACTCGACACCTAAATGCACATTCTTAATAAGAAAAAATATTGATCTACATTGAATAAAATATGTAGAAGTTGCTAAACATGTAAAGATTTTAATTAATTTTTAAACTATGACCTAGACGATAGTCTTAGGGTCCCGAGACGAATCTACCTCGTGCAGAAAACTATTCAACGGAAAGCGTAATGTGGAAGTGACTGCATACAGTTAGCTTTCCTAGCGTAGAAAAGCAGGACGCATATTTCAAAAATGCTAAAGCGCTTTATGTTAAACTATCGTCAAGAAAAGAAACATATTATTTGAAACTCTTACGTTACCAGTATAGTCCACGTGTACATGGAACGCACACCACTAATAGCTTGTGATATTTAACTTTCACAGTTATGAAGATCATTAATATAGTATTTTGATATAGTTAAGACCATAAAAAATCTACCCTTACGAAGTGGGTAAATTTGCTTTCGTATAAAATTAGTTCAAGTAGGTTTCGAAATGATTTAAAAAGTGGGATACAATAAGACTTATCTAAGATTATTATAATTTATTTCACTTTCAAATTATTATTGTCATTTGGTTTTAGGTAAACAAATATTTTGTTGAATTGTCCTATATTTTATTTTTATATTTTGTTTTCTTTTCTAAAACAGAAGAAAATAACTATTCATGTTTTGAAGGTTTTTCCGCTTGCGAATATTTTGAAATGATGCCCGGTTCTGGAATTGTGTTAACTACATTTTCTGATATACATTTCAACATTGGCGACCACTTCAACCCAAACTCTGGAGAGTTTACAGTACCAACAAGTGGAATTTATTGCATCAGTCTGGTACTGAATAGTGACTATGATACTAGTGCTGAAGTTCAAATAATAATACAAAACTCTCCAGAATTTATGGAAGAAGACGAAGACGACACAGAAACGGTTATACAAGGGGTACAAATTGTAAATGGTAGGAACAGTTTTGTAACAAACATTTATTTAGAACATGATGATAAACTTGTTTTAAAATATACGGCACATAAAGAGCGTTTTCATACCATTCCATTTCATGCAACATTTACTTGCTATAAAATACATGACCGCATTGAATAGTTTTTGAAAGATCTAGAAAATGAAATCCAATCATAACATAGTAAATTATCGATTAGTAATTTCTTAATTGTAATTTTGTACATACTCTATTATACATTTAGCAGTATACAATATTTCTTTAGCCAATAATTGATGTATTTTTAAATTATATGATTAAATATTGTATATTAATCAAACCACATATTTTTGTTAAATAACGTAATGTTTGCTGTTATTCTTTAAACAAAAAGTTTAAAATAATAAAATTGCTGATTATAATAGATTGACGATAGAAGCATGTGGTTGTATATGAAACGTTTATTGGGTCTAACTACATGATGATAACAGGGAGAGAGAGACGGAAATGACGAGAGACAACTATTTATATATATGTAAGGGACATCACTCAAGATAACAATATAAATATAATACTAATACAGAAGAGTGAGTTCCCTTGACCTCACAATTATCTCAATTTATTACACTGATCATAGAATTGAGCATATCCTGCTTGTCTTGTACACATCAGAGCATGCTCATTCAGGAATATGCTGTTGTAAAATCTTTCTCTAAATTAATTTTGTAACAAATAATTTTACATATTTTGTGACTAATTGTTGATCAACTAATGTTGAGATATTTTAATCTTATAATCTTTACTTGGCATAGTACTGACCACACTATCTCTTCATACGCTGAGCTCACAGAAAAAGTTGAACTCTACTTCACTTGCCCCGTGAACCATCAGGTTTGATGGAGAACTTACTTATTTATCAAAGTGAACTAACATGCTTGAATTAATTTTTAGTGCAATTTCCATACTGGACAATTGCGATTATTAACTCGTCATTTCTGGTGATGGATGGATGGTTGTGTGTCCGCAGCTTAAAGTCGTATCTCCTCCTCAACGAAGCAATATCGAGGACTAGTTCCAAAGCAAATATGTTAAGCAAGTTCCGAGAATGATTGTGGGCCAAAAAAATTCCTGGAATTCCTTAAGCCTAAAACAAGGAGCAACACATATTTATTTCCGAAATTAATTTAAGTCTGATATAGAAAATAACTTATGTTATTATTTATACTTATCTATTACTTTTATTTATACGACCTGTTTAGAGACGTTAAAACAAATGTGTTTACTGCCTTAAAACCTGCAATGTTGCTAAACATAAAGACATTTAAAAATTTGTGGGGGAAAATGTAATTTGAAATTGCTTTGAACTAAATATGTCAAAAAGCATTATAATGTATTACTGGATACTTTTCTATGTATTTTTAGAAATAAATTGATGGTGATTTGTTAATTTTTATATGAATAAAAGTGAAAAAGTAATAAAATGGATTTGTAAATCACAAACGATTAAAATATTGGTGACGCTTTATTTATTTATTTTTAATTCGTTCTATCATA